AGGTTGAATTAAATGTTGAAAAAAAGCCAACATTAGGAGCACTTACTTTAAGTAGTAAAGATAGTTTTTTAATAGCAACTAATATTTGTTCAACAAAATTAACACAAAATGTAGATTTATTGGGTTTATTGAATTGGGCATCACACAATACAGATTTGAAAGAATCTCTGATTGCTTTAATGAAAGTTGATGGTGAAGAAGTAGTAAAGTTTTTACAGGTTAGTAAATTTTTTTATATTATATGATATAAATATAAAGATACATAATAAACATAAAACATTTCACAATTTCATTATATAAGATTTATTTTTTAGGATGTTTTAGATGCTTTATTTAACATATTAATGAGTAATTCAGATAGTGATATTTATGATGATATGGTATTTGAATGTTTATTATATATTATTGGTCTTGTATCTGATAGAAAATATCAACACTTTCAACCAGTAATGGATTTGTATATTTCTGAGAGTTTCTCTGCAACGCTTGCATATAAAAAATTGATTGCAGTATTACGTAAACGTATAGATAATGCAACTAATAATGATGGACAAGAACGCGATATATTGCTTAAAACAATGAAAAGTCTTCAATATTGTATGAGATTTGTTGTAGAATCCCGTCTTTTATTCACTGCGTATGTTTTATTTTTTTTATATCATTTAAAAAATTATTATATGTAATTAAAGTATCTTTATTTATTTATATATTATTATATATAGATTAAATCAAGATGAAGAGGAATTTTCTCAAACTTTAACAGAATTATTGAAATCTATTGTTGAACTTATGAGACATGAAACAGATAGTACATTATTAGTTCAAGGAGCATGTTTAAAATATTTACCAACTACTATACCTCATTTGCTACGGGTATATAGTGGCAAACAATTGAGCACAATTTTAACTGATTTATTAATTACTTTACCAATGAGAAGATTAACTAAACAAAAAATGATGACTGTAAATGATATTGTTCACAGTCCTCTTTTTTTAAATGCAGAATGTAGAGCAATTCTATTACCTAGAATTGCTATTTTGGTTCGCGATTTATTGGAAGCTAAAGAAGAGGTAATGTATATTAGCTATTAAAAATGTATTAATTTATTAACTTTAATGTCAAGAAAGGGAATTATTATTGAAGTGCATATGAAATAATTAAAAATTGCTATTACACTTATATATTGGGAATTTCTCAAATATAAATTGTTTTTGAGTGACGAAATTTTTGTTGAAGCTTCATTCATATTAATGTTGTCATAATGAAACTTAAAAAAGCAAATATATTTGCATATTTAATATAGTTAAAATGTGAATGAAGCTTTTGATTTGCATTTAAAATTTCGTTATACAACTTGTGAATAGTGTCATTATTTGTGCTTTCCGTGCAGCCTGACATCCTTCCGCCACGCATCTTTCTATGAATTTCATTAATCTTATTATTCTGTAAATTAGGATGTCTTTATTTTTTGTGATATGTTTCTAAATCAGATTGTCTTATTTTTTTGTGATGTTTCTAGATGTAATAATATTCTATTAACATAGATATTCATAAAATAATATTCTATTAATCTAAATAGTAAATTTGAAATAGAAATGATATAAAGAAATGTAATGAAATCAAAGACATCCTCTATAAATTTTTACTGTAGCATGAGAATTGAATTCATTTTTGCTTCCTGATAGCATGTAATCATAAAATATCCAATTTTCATTAAAATATAAGTTATTCATTGTGTGTCTATCTTTTCACTTTATACAGATTAGATGTGTATTATAAAAACACACTATCTTTAAAATAAAAAAATCTCTTTAAGAAATAGTCAATAAAAAATTTTTATAGGAATTCTTATATTTAATGTAGTTTTTCAACTTTTTTATAACTATCCTATTGCTTGAGGCACTGCATTGTTTATGCATGCAGTCTTGTAATACAATTTCTCTTAGGTGATGGACGATATTAAGGATATAACTATATTTTTTTACGCATAAATTGGCATAATATTCTTACTAACATAGGGCTATTTCATTTTTGTGTTTGGTTTGGTTTTGGTTATTGGCCTATAAAAGGGGCTGTCAAGTACGCCTGGAAATAGCGTGGCGAAGGTAGCCAGGCTGCTCGGCGAAAATCGACATCGACTCAACCAGCACCGTGGCTATTCTGAAGAGGTAATTGTTGAAATACATCGTGATTTCGAATGTTACAAGTAAATTTTGAATTATTGGCACGGTAATTGCTGATGTTATGAAAGATACATTGCTCTTATTTTTATACTTATAATAAGTATTTTATATTAGATTTACAGGAATGCTATTTATTATTGTGTTAAAAATTTTTTTCTTTTTTTTTTTATTAATTATTTTTACAATAATATTGATAATTCACAATGGTGATGCAAAATATTTCTTATTTTATGTTCATGTAGGTTGAATTGTGTGTCAAGATTTTATCTGATATCTTGGATTTAACATTTAGAAAAGATATAGGAAGCACTATACAGGATGTAAAAGAAATTATGCTTACTGCCTTACGGACTATTATCCAAACAGTTATATCAATGGATAGAGAAAACCCATTAGTGGGTAATTTAGTTTCAGTCATGTTAGCAATATTCAGGTAGAAAATTGGAATAAAAATCTTTTTTATTAAAGAAATATGCACATAATCTAAGTTTAATATATTTCAGACAAATGACACAACATCATTATGAAATTTATATAAATCATTTTGGAACCAAATTTGATTTGCTTGATTTTCTTATGGAAATATTACTTGTATTTAAAGACTTAGTATCAAAAAGTGTATTTCCAGGAGATTGGTGTGAAATGATTATGCTTCAAAATAGTATAATCTTAAAATCATTGCGTTATTTTTCGGGTACTATTAGGGATTATTTCTTTATTGATTTTGAACAACAAGCTTGGTCTAATTTTTTCCATTGTGCAATTGCGTTTCTAACTCAACCAGCTCTACAATTGGAAATATTTACACCATCAAAACGCAATCGCATTGTTTCGCGTTATAATGATATGCGGAGGTATGCTGAATTATCAAATTATTTTATTTTTTTAAATATCAATATATATTAAAATAATTTTTTTTATAGAGAAACAGCATTCGAAATACGATCCATGTGGTTTAATTTAGGACAACATAAAATATTGTTTGTTCCGGCTTTAGTTGGAGCAATATTAGAAATGGCATTAATTCCAGAAAGTGAACTAAGAAAAGCAACAATACCTATATTTTTTGATATGATGCAATGTGAATTTTACAGTTCACGTATTGTTGAAGGATATGGTGATACAAAACGTGATCCTGCACACATAAAAGCTAATTTCACAGAATATGAAAATGAAATGATTGCAAAATTAGATATATTAGTAAGTTATAATATATATCTTTTACATATTTGTTGATTTATCAATTGCATATACATTTCTATAGGTTGAGGGAGGCAGAGGGGATGAACAATTTCGTTTGCTTTGGATTCAAGTAATGGGTAATCTTTGTGAAAAACACTCAACTATGCGAGAACAAGGATTACGTTTCGTTGATACAGTAGCTAAACTTATGGAACGTCTATTACAGTATCGTGATATTATTCACGCTGAATCTCAAGAACATAGGATGTTATGTATTGTAAATTTATTAGAATTTTATTCGGAAATAAATAGAAAAGAAATGTATATTAGGTATATATGTAATCAATTTTATCAAAACTTAAATTATTTTTATTAAAGTCATATATAATTTTTAATTATTAGAAATTCTAAGTTATAGTCTTCGTCTTGTAGATATGTAAACAAACTTTGTGAGTTACACTTAGAGTGTGACAACTATACCGAAGCCGCATATTCTTTGAAACTTCATAGTCAATTACTAGCTTGGAGCGATCAACCATTACCACCACTTTTAAAATCACATAGATATTTATTATGTCAAACGCATCGTGAATTAAAAGAAGCATTATATAATGATATGATTGAATATTTTGATAAAGGTAAAATGTGGGAATGTGCGCTTGCAATATGTAAAGAATTAGTTGCACAATATGAAGAAGAAACATTCGATTATTTACAATTATCTGTATTATTAAGGCGGATGGCCAAATTTTACGATTCTATAGTAAAACAATTGAGACCTGAGCCTGAATATTTTAGAGTTGCATATTATGGTCGTGGTCATCCGGCATTTTTACAAAACAAGGTATGTTATGAGAAATTTCCATATCAATAATTAATTATTTGACGCTACTATTAATTCTGATTAATTAATCAGGTATTTATTTATCGTGGGAAAGAATATGAACGTCTTAGTGATTTTTGTTCACGAACATTAAATCAGTTACCAAATGCAGAACAAATGAATAAATTGTCTCCTCCTACTTCGGAAATGTTAGAATCCAATCATCAATATGTACAAATCAATAGAGTAGATCCATTAATGGATGAAAAAAGGCATCGACTTAGTGGAAAACCTATAACTGCAGAGGCAGTATTGAGGTAACATATGATTTAATAACACATAGATTTATCATGAAATTTAAAATCTTTTTAAATTAATAAAAAATTTATATATATTTAAGATATCATCGAGTAAACGATGTTCAGCGTTTCCGCTTTTCAAGGCCAGCACCAAAGAAAGATATAATTTCGACTACTGTAAATTCTGCTGATAAAGAAAAAGATATGAATACTATTATTAATAATGAATTTGCTTCGTTATGGTTAGAAAGAACAGTACTCGTTACGAGTCATCCTTTGCCGGGTATTCTTAGATGTTTTCCTGTTACATCCAGTGAAACCTATTTAGTTAGTCCTCTTCGTAATGCAATTGAAACAATGGAAGCTACAAATATTGCATTAAGAGATTTGATTTTAGCACATAAAGCCGATAATAATCTTCCATTAAATCCGCTTAGTATGAAATTAAATGGTATATTAGATCCAGCAGTTATGGGTGGTATAGATAATTATGAGAAAGCATTTCTCAATTCTGAATATCGTAATTCTCATCCAGAAGAAAGTTCTGATCTTTTGAAATTGGAAGGATTAATTGCTGAACAAATTCCATTATTAAATATTGGTGTTCAATTACATAAAATGCGTGCTCCACCTGAATTAACTCCGTTTCATCAGCGTTTGGAACAATGTTTTGCGTCAATGCGAAATCAAGTAGAAGCAAAATACGGAAAAAGAGTAAAATATTTGTTTTTTATTAGAAATTTATTTTTTGAAAAAATTATATATATATTTTTAAAAAATTAATTATATATACGTATTACAGACATGTGATTTACAAATTGAAAATCTAACTCAATCTGTTACGATGCGACGACATCAAGCTTCAAGGGGCGAAATTCATCGATTATCTGAATCAAATATAAATACAGAGTAAGTAATATATATTTGTATAATAATATATTAATGTATGATATTGTGTAATTTTTTGCAATTTTTCTGCAAATATTTGTACTAACATTTTTGCTCATTTCTTTCTATATTATTAAATTGCATTATTTTTATCATGAGATTATAACTACGTTTGTTTTAAAATATTATTTATATTCATTATAACTGATATGCATGCAAAAAGAAAAAGTTGACTAAAATTCACAAATTTCATATAAAAACATGTAAAAATGCTTCCTACATAATTTTTTCATATCTTTTATTATAATGTTATGTGGTCACTTTGTAATTATCTCGTTCAGCTGTGGAACTCACTCCAGGGTATCCTCTCTTACAAGATCCCAAGTTGCAACATTCAAGTCGCTCGCCTCATTCAATTTTAATAACAGCACGCCTTCATCTGGTACTCAAAACGTCAGTTTGACAAGGTAAAAATATTATAATGATGATGATGATGCATAAAAATACTCATGCTATAATTAATTTGTTAATATAATTAATTCTTTTTATTTCATATTTTGTATTTTATACATAATTTTTTAAATTTATTGTCAATATTATTCATCATCAGGTTTACATATTATTTTATTTTTTTTTATATGTACTATTTTATATATTCATATTATTTGTTTATGTCATTATAATATTTGTTTTTTGATAATTTGATTAAAAATTTATTTTTAAATAAATTATTTAATAATAGATTATTTTGAGAAAAGAATTGGTTAAATGTTAATCCAAAAACATTTTTCTAATTTCATATCATTTTCATATTTCGAATAGATATTAGAATAATTTATCTATAATTTCAGGAATTTTGCCGTTGGGCCTGATAAACACAATATCCTATTATCCTTTCTCCGTACCTAGCAGTTTTTGTATATATACACATGTGTATATATGTGCACAAATCTTTATTTATATCTTACTTATTTTTTTTATATATATTTTGACTAATAAGTCATTTAACATATTCTTTCAAATTTATTTTTTATTTAACTATTTTTATATTATTTAAATTAATCAAATATTTTATAGGAATGCTTCTAAAAATTGAAAATAAAAAAAAAAACAAGAAAAAATATTACATATATACATATATGTCTTAAAAATAATATTTATATATTATTTCTTTTTCTCTTCTTTTATTCTATTTTTTATTTGCATGATATTTTTTGTATTATTTGTTATATTACCATGTTTGTCCCTGGATAAAACAACTTCTATAACACAACCGACTATTATGCTAAATAGGTAAATAGTGTGCTAATATATTAGTATAATATTAAAATTTTAATTATTAATATAAATATATATTTTTATAATTAAATAGTAATAAAAGTTATTATTGTACAGGAATTCTTCAATACGTTCACATATATTGTCATCGGCATCTTTACAAAAGGCACTAGGAAGTCCAAGTCCAGGAACAAATAAAAAGAAAGATTCAAAGCGAAGAAGTTCACGTAAAAGTGATTCAGTTGCATCGACAAAAAGTGATCAACCGACGAGTCAATGGTATACTACAGCAGATATATCACAAATTACATCAATTCCTGCTACTCCATCAATATCTAGTTTTCTTTCTACTCCGAAATTTGAACTTCGTCAAGAGGTAACGTTTCGGTATAATTAATATTGTTATAATAATAATAATAATAATAATAATGATAATAATAACAGTAATAATAATAACAACAAAAATAATAATAAAATTTTTCTAGTTAACACCTAAACGTCCTTTAAGATCAGAAGTAGAAAAGGAAAGAAGGATAAGTAATCGTTTGTCTGGGCAATCTCAACATTATTTAAAGAATATAAATAATGGAATGGATTTGAATAGCTTAGGAAAAGGAAATAGAGATAGTATTGGCACCACAGATAGTACAGCCTCTGAAGATGATCCACCTCCACCTTTACCTGTGAAAACTCGCGAAGCTGATTATTGTAATCTTCCAGAAGAATTATCTATTCAACATTATGGAACAGGTAGTTTAAATAATTTTAACCGGTCATTAGGGCAATGGTCAAAAAACAAATTACCGACTCCTACTGATGATCTTGATATTCAAACGAAACCACCTACTCCTCCTCCAAAACCAAAAAGACCACCTTATAATTTAAATAAACTTATACTTTCTTCAGATATAGATAATTTTAATCAAGACCCGTCCGTAACTTGATTCAAATTATTTGATGATTGTGTGTCTTGCCAGTATACTGAAAACTATGTCATAATATTTATATATATAGATTTTAGTTATATAGTAGGAAATTAAAAAGTTACCATTTATATTCTATTATGTACCTTTTCTTTTTATGTACATAAGAAAGTATTTATCACTGTTAAAAATAACAGTGAATTATGATTTTTTAACATAATTTTAGTAACAACAAATTTAATAAAAATTAGATTTATATTTTACATTTTAATAAGATCAAACATATCTATCTTTATTTCATCCAATTGAAAAAAAAATTTTGAATTATTATTAAATTTGAAAAAGATATAAAAAGTTTACAAAAAAGTTTACAAATTTTACAATTTTTATATTTCTAAATAAAAGCATTTTTTATATACATTTTTCATTTTTTGATATTTTATAAATATATTTATGTAAAGTATAAGTTTAATATATATTTGTATTCAATATTAGTTAAAATATTAGTTAATATATTTCGTATATTTACTAATGCCATTGACATCAAAGTCTTTCAATTATAAAAGACTTTATATACATTATAATATATATATATATATAAATTATGCATAATATGTTTATTAAGAAGCAGATATTATAATTAATGTATTTTTATAGATTTTTATAAGACATATTTATCGAATTTTCTCTGTAATAACATTTTTAAACAAATTTTATTGTTAATGTTGCTAATATTTTTTAACATAGATAAAATTTAGAAAAAAAACTGTTTTTTATATTTAAAATACTTTTTTAATATCTGTTTTCTTTAAAAGCTCGATTTTATACTATAGTATTATTAATATCTAAACTGTTCTACTACTTAAACATTATCAATTGTGATTTACTAGTATAATTAAATAATTTGTTTATCAAAAAATTAACAAGATCTTGTAAAATGTTAAATTATTTAAGATAATGAAGAGACATAAAATAGAAAAAAACATCAGTTTATATCATGCAGTATATAATCAGTACATATAGAATTTATCACATATTTATTTATTAATTTTCATGACAATTATAATTTATAATGTAACAAATTTTTATATTTCTTCACACAATTATATAAATTTGTAAAGCACTATATCATCTGACAGAATTGCTGTATTTTTCAAATGTAAACATATAACAAGAATGCTTACTATTTTTAATTACAAAATATTATACAAGATTTTTAATTACAATTATTATGTAAGTTTCATACCAAAGAAATTTGTGCTTTATTTATTTTTGTTAACAAGTTATATCGTTTAATGTTATATCTCATATTATTCGGAAATCAAATAAATATGATATTTTTTAAATTGAAAACGAATAACAAATTATACATATTTGTTGTAATTGATTTCTTGATATTTAAATACTGGTAATTAAAAAATTAATCTATTATAATTCATATTTAATGTGCCATTTTTTTTTTAATATTCATAGCAATAATTTAACTTTTAATTAGGGACCAATGTAATAAATCAAAATTAAAATTTATTTACTGTTACATATAATATATTTTTCTATTTAATTATTATCATATCATATTATTATCATAATTTTTTTATTATTTTTAGAATAAAATATTTTTATTATTTTAATTAAAGATATCATATTATATAAGAAATATTAAGTTGTACAATAATATAATTAAAATATCTTACATATTTTTCTATGATATTCGACATTCATTTTTAGATGTCTTAGAAATATCATTTTTATCAATATTACTTGTGCTTTCTTTTTTTATTTCAGTAACTTGCATGTTATACTCATATCCTGTATTCATATTCGATACTGGAGGCTTATATAAAAATAAAATACTTTAATAATTTAATAAACTATATGTACAAAGATTTAAAAAAAACTTACCAATGAAACATTATTATTTTGTAAATTTTCATTAGTGATTTTATTTTTATTCTCTATCCATGACCATTGATTTGGCTGTGTCAATAAAATTGCATGCTGATGATTATATTTGTTCTTAAAAAAAAAAAAAGAAGTGAAAAAATTGCTATTATTATATATATTTTATTTTTTTTCTTTTTTTTGATTATACCATTTCTTGAGACATTTTTGCATGATCTAAATTTGGATACAATCTGGGTTCAACATCCAAAAGTGGTGGAGCACTAGGAAACTACAACAAAATTTTTTATTTTTTTATTTAATAATTTAGATATAAATAATTTAAAATTTAATAAATTAAATTTCTCAATATTTTACCTGTAAATTTTCCGTTTGTAAATTCATATTACCAGTAATATTTGATTTTTGCTAAAATTTATCATAACAAAAATACAATTAATAAAAGAAAAAAAATTTTGATAAAAATTTTATACTAAATAAAATATATTTACTTCTTTTTTTTCATTAAATTGAATTGGACAACAATTAGTATAATGATTATTTATGCCACATTTTTCACATTTCAAACCCCAAGCAGGACAAGCTCTTATAGGATGTCTTTGGTTACATTTTCTACAATTCCTTTTATTTTGCACGTTTATTGATTTTTCATTATTGTTTGAATTATTAGTCTTTTCATCAAAATTTTTAACAATTTTAGATGTATTTTTAACAGATGCATTATCACATTTTGAATCATTTTTTGTCCTGTTTTCTTCTTTTTTTTTATTTTGCAAAATTTGATGCTCATTAAAAATTTGTATTAATGTTGATAAATTGAGATTTTCTGTATTAAAAATTTTTGTTTTCAAATGTTTATCATGGATTTCCATAATTATTTTATCTCTAATTAAACTGTCTGCCATTTTTCCAAAATTACAAGTTTTTGCTTTACTCTAAAAATAAATGTATATTTAAAAAATATATATTTAAAAGTATAGAAATTATTTCAATATTTACCTTCAACTGAGTGATATAAGTTTCAATAGATTCATCCTTTTTTTTTTTTTAAATTAAAGAAATTATATCTTTCAACAACTTCATTTTTAGAGGGACAAAAATATTTATCAAGTTTTGCTAATAATATATTCATATCATCTCTTTCTTTGATTGAAACAATTTTTTCTATAGCATTTTGACCAATTTTTCCTATATAACTTCTTAAAAGATAAGCTTGTTCTTCTTTTGGTTTATCCATTAAATTACTTACATTCATAAATATCATAAAATCTTTTTTCCACTGCTTCCAATTTTGAGTAATATCTCCATTATCAGATAAGGGATCAGGAGGTCTTACATATATATTCATTTTATTATCAGATTTATATTCTAGCAATGTAAAATAAGCTGAAAAAAAAATATTATTGTAATATTTTACTACAATTTTTACAAAAAGATATATATATATTATATAAAGAAATATAGATAATATTATATAGATATTAATTAATTATTTTATCGATATATTATTTTTTAACATAAAATTTATGAATATTTATTTACTTAATAAAAACTAATTTCTTCTAAATAGATCATAGATATAAATATATTATATCGTTTTATAATTATTACATACCTGGTGAAATTAAATATAAAAAAATGTACGAATAAAAATGATTTATTCTTTATAAATTAAAAAGATAAAATGATTTGTTCTTATATACTTACTTTTTATAACGGGTATTTCCCTAGTTAATAATTTAAAAGATGAATCATGATTATATGAATCAAAATTATAAATAGAATTACCAACTTTAATGTTGGTACAAGTTGAAATTTAATTATTTTATATATCCTATACTATTTAATTATATCTATATTTACATATTCTGTACCGTGTAAAGAAATATGATCAAAAAGTGAAAAAAAAATAATTTAATATATGATCTTGAAATAAAAAATATTATTTTTTTTCTCATATTTAATTAATTCATGAAATTATTCGTTGTTAAAACGAATTAAAAGAAAAAATATAATAACAAATGAATATTATATATATATTTAAATATTAAAAAAATTAATAAATAGCTCATTTTCTGAAAATACCAAATCAATAGTAGAAGTTAATTTTATGTAACAATATAAGTAATTTTGGTATCATATTATCTAATAATTATTTGTAATATTTTGTGATTTATGTTTATTCATGATTTATTTATTTTCGAAGAATTAACTTCATAGATTTTATTAGTTTTAAGTTTAGGAAATTCCACTAGATATCAGTTAATATTTCCGCAATATAATAATAAAATTTAAGTTACTATAACTTAATAACTAACATTTTTTATATTAACGGTGTTTGTTTTGAGCACTTTTTAAGTAAATAGTGGAAGTAAATAAATATCAAACAAAAATTACAATAAGATTTACGATTTATATTTGACAATTTAGGATATGAAATCAAAAACAATATAGGGTAAACATATATTTTATATTTCGAATTGGTCTAAAAAAAAATAATGCTTTTTATATTACTTATCTCTATTATTTTATTTTATATATTATCTGATATTATTCTTATCTGCTTCTGCTATTTTTTTTTATTCATGATATTCTAGAAACGATTTTATAATTTTTAGCTTTTTTTTCTGCTTTTCTATTATCCTTGTTCTGTACTTGTTCAAGCGAAATATATCAATTATAAAATTATATAATATTAGGTTCAAATGTTATTTTAGAGTACCAATAATTACGAAAATTTCTTTGTTTTTTAACAATATTCGAATACAAAAAATTTCAATTTCAAATTTTTTAATGAAATTTTTAAACTTTACAAATATAAAAGTTGATATTTTTCAATTTTAAATATAAATATATAATTCAAGATAAGTAAAATATATCAATTTAAAAATTGGAAAATTTTTTTAACTATATAAAATTTATTTTATGATATTCTTATACTACTGGAGAATATTTTTAAAATATCTTTTTTAGGAAGATTACAAAGACAATGAAAACAAAATATATTTTAAAGCTTCATAAATTTTGAAAAACAACTGAAAGAAAATATGTTTTTGTTTTTAACATCTAAAAATAATTAATTTTTTGTTTATTAGTTTTGAGAATTATTAGTTTCAAAAATTTAAATATTAATGATACATATATATTTATTTATATAAATTTGAATAATATATATTATGCAATATAAGTATATAATTTTGATTTCCTTTGTAAGATTATTTGCTTTTTACTTATTTTTATAATATAATAAAATATTATTATATTTAGTAATTTATATAATACAACTATAGAAAAAATTTTTTCTAAATATGATATTTTTAGTATATGAAACTTTAAAGGAGGAAAAATATATTAAAAAAAGTTTTCTCCAATTGATCCAATTTATTCCAGTATATAATATTATAAATATATGAAATATAATAACTTTATTATTAATTATTATTAATAATTGCATATATAGAATACCACTAATAAGCAAATATTGGAAAAAAGACAACTAATATTTAATTTTAGGTACTAATTTTTATTTTTTTATTTTTTAGATATTATCATTATCACTAGAAAGTAAAAATAATAATAGTTTAAAATAGAGAAGGAGAATCAAAGATTTATAATAAAAGATATTTTATGAAAAATATTATTACAAAGTTATTTAAAGATACATAGAAATATATTTGTATATAAAAATATTATATGAAAGTCCTATACTATTCCTATACTATAATTTCATAAATTAATATTATGTTATATTTCCTTACATATTAAATTAATCATTAGTAATAAGATGTAAAATATATTTTTTTAATATTTTTAATAAAAATACACAAAAGAAATAAACAAATATTCATTATATTGTCTAGTACAAAAAGATTTCATTGATTATATTAAAATTTAAATTAAAAAAATTATTTTTTAAAATTACTATTTAAAATTATTTTTCATTATTATGATATTTATTTGATTTTTTATTGCATTTTGAAGAAATATGACCCATTGTTTTGCAATTATTGCAAATGATATTTTTTGCTGTGCAATGGGATCTAGAAGCAATATGTGTTAAACCACAATAATTACAGTGCAGAATTTTTGTAGATTTACATTTCCAGCTAAAATGATGTAATTTCTGACATTTAGTGCAAATTTCATTATAAGCTGGACAATTTTTATATCTATGATCACTTCCACAATAATGACAGTTAGTAATAAAATTTTTTGGACATCTTTTTGGAAAATGATTCCATTCCTTACATTTTACACATTGTTTTCCCAATGATGGACATTTAGAAATATGATTAGATCCACAACGTATACAGCTTTTTGAACTACTATTAGTATCAATGTATAATTTCCAAATGAATGCAATTTCCTTTATTGTTAACTTATTGAAATCAGAAGAAAATGTAAATGTTGGAATTATATGTTTAGCAGCATTATTAAATTGATATACATTGATTTCTGTTAAAATTTTCTTCCTTATTAATTCTTGTTCATTGTCAATGTTTTTTTCTTTGATAATAAACTAAAAAAAAAAATTATATAATAACTAAAATTGTTGTATATTATATTTCTTATCAAAATTTTTGTTATAAATTTAAAAATTTTTTTTACTTGTAAGTCGTTTATATATTCATATGTATTTTCTAAAGATAATTTTTTTCTTCCTGAAAATATATAATATTCGTCAAATTTTTCAAGTAATATATCTACATTTTCTTTATCATTCAGAGAATTAAATTGAAATGTGCTATAAATATTTTGTCCAATTGGACCCATTAAATTTAATAACAAATTTCCTAATCTATTCTGATTATTAAAATTCTCTTTATTCAAAACTCTTTTGAATGTTAAGAATTCATTTTTCCAAGAGCACCATGTTTTGAAAAATTCGTCTTCCGTTATAAATGGATGAGGTGGTATGATATTAGGAAGTGTAGTAGTTAGATTTAAATTTTGGATATGTGCAGGAAGCACATTCTTTTGTTTTGAAACATTTTTATCTTGCGAGTTACCTAAAATAATATAGAATGGAATATGTATAAAAAAATAAATATATAAATAATTTAATTATAATTTATAAAAAATTATTGAAAATATATTTACCCATTATATATTTAAATAATTGCGTGTCTCACAAAAAGTCAATGATTTTATTATGTATAATTTACTATATAATCTGTGACTTTGCGATTATAAGACTTACGACTATATTTTTTCTTACTCTAATATCCGATCTGTCAGAAGTAACCAATCCTCATTTCTTATTGTAAGATATACAATTATATACTTATATAATTTTTTGAATTAACATTTAATTTTTGTACTTACCATTATTCTTATGTTGATGTTTAATATGACATGATTTATGTCGATTTTTACGTACTTTATATATACATATGAATTAATAAATTTCTAAAACAACTGATGTTTTAAATATATATATAATTTGAAATCTAAATAATATCCAAATATTACACAAAATAGGTTAAAATAGTGTACAATGATATAATATGCAATAATACAAGGAAATAAGGGAGATAAATAACGAAATAAGGGGAATTAAAAATAATCTATTATCATTAAAATTTTATTATCATAAAGATAAATTATCAATTGATTGTTCTGTTTAAATAGATACTTCACTGGAGTGAACAATTTGACCAACATAACCTTAACATTAAATAAAATGAAAATAAAATATTAAATACAAAAAATTTCTTTTATTCTCTTCTTTGTTCTTATAAACAGTATTGATATTTAATATGAAATCATTATCATTAGAATAAAATAAAGGAATGAGTTAAGATAAAATAACACACTGATTCTTATCTTTATGTTTGTTTGACTGCAACATGAATAATTGCAATTTGTTAGGCGTTTCCCTGGCAACTCTACTCGAGTTATACGCGACTTTTACTTTAGTATAAAGTAAAATTGCTTAAGTTCACTTTTGTCTTTTAAATTATTATTTAAATTATTTCAATCTTATATATTCAATCGTGTATTCTTGATCAATTTTCTATCAGAAACATTTTTGAAGAATTTCATCGTTCATTAGATAATTTGGTGATTCAATAAAATCGAACAAATATCACAAGTATTCAATAAATTAATAATAGAATAATGTAAAAATGGCAAAGATGTTTATTGTTATAGCATAATAGAATTTATCTTTTTTCAAGTTTGAAGGGTGTTCGACCTGTAATTATCGTGTTTAGAAATGATATAAATCTCGGAATCACGAATGATAATGATGATACAATTGATTTGAAAAAAAAATCGGTCTAAATTTTTGATTATTTAAAGTTTTTTAGCCATATGGATATTAATTATAGAGTAAATATCGGCAAATGGTTGCCATTTCCGAGTGATATTCTTGAGAAATGGTTCGCAAACTCGTCGATGCTTACAAAGAGAATGGACAATTTTGTGGAAAATATAGCGTTAATTATTCGAGATATTGCAGACGCTCAGACATATGATATAAAGGTGCGGTTTTTTTTCATGTCAATTTGTGCATTTAATTTAATTTTTTATTGAAATTAATAATTTTTTATTAATAAAATTAATAATTTTTTATCTTTGTAATATTCTGTTTGATATCGATAACGAGGAAAATTTTCATGCTATTCAAATTCAATTAGGAATTAGCTGTTTCTTTTTCAATATTTCAATATTTTAGAATTGAAATTTCATATTTTATATTTTCGTTTTGCATTTGAGAAAGTTTCCATTGTTTTTTGATATAAAAGCTATAGAATAAATTTTATAAAAACTAGTGAAATATTCATAAAATTAAAGTTTGTTAAAAAATTGTTTTTTTAAATTCGAAAAGTTTCACGAATGAATATAAATTCCTTTCTTGGATAAACATTTTGGATCGCATTTTGAATGCAGATATACAATGGAATCGCAAACGATTTAGAAGAGATAAAGGAAGAATATAAATCGATCAGTACGACAAGTGTCAGTGCACATCCAATTTATAATTACAAAATGAGACATTTTTTGATGATGTTGAAACGAAAACTGAACGTCCTCGCGAGATTTGTTCGCAACTTGATTAACGAAATCGTCGATTGCAAGAGCGACGAGCTACTTAAGATAATTTTCAGGTGAAAATTGTATGTTTTTATAATTTTTTAATTTTCGGTTAATGAAACATCTGATTCCAGGTTGGTGAACATTTATAACGATATACTGGATATAGATATCGATGTCTCTATGGATGCTTCTACGAATGTGTTCTGTAACAATTGTCCTTATATGTTAGAACCGATGAAGAAGATATCTGTTACACGAATATTGCAGGTAAAAATTTATTTCTTTTTTTTTTTACTCTGTATTACACATTAAAATTACGATATCTTTTTTTGGAATATGCATACAGCGTTTCAAATTTTTGAATGAACATGATTGCAAATTTCTTGGCATGAATAGTAAGAAGAAGATGGTAAAAAAAAAGTTCGAATAAAAATAAAATAAGAATAATTAAATTTTTTTTTATACATGAGGATTAATTAAATTAAAGTCAAATTCAAGTTATTCAATTTAAATTTCGAAGAAACGGCAAAAAAAAAAAAAACAAAATAGAGTATTACATTATCATCTATTTCTCCGCAATTTCATTTTCTGAAAAATTTCAAATTTAAATACCAAAATATATAATTAATATCTATCTTAATTAAATTATTTAAATTTTAATTAAACATCATTAAAAATCCGAATATCATATTATAATTTAAAATTATCTTAATATTAATAGTTTAAAATTTTGCTTTATCGTATACTTAAAAAAAACGAAACTAACAGTGAAACTTCAAACATTGATTTCACTTCCTCTAAATGATATTTAATAAATAATCTTCTCTGTATATAATCTACAATATACATATTTTATATAAAAAAGAATTATTTTTTAGTTTTGATAACATTTTTTCAACAACTTCGCCTTTTTCAGATACTGGCCAAAAACAAAGCCGAAGAATCCTGCCATGAACTCATCGACTGCCTTTTAACAAATTACGAACCTCAGGAGAAGACCGATCCTTCTTCAACCATTTCTGGTGATGCTGATGTTTCGGACAATTCGAGTATTGAAATTTATCGGTTGGCCAGCATTAAACGATCTTTACTTTTTTGCGAAATAGTAGAATCTTTAGTTTCTTTTGAACATTTTGAAAAATTTAATTTGCAGAGCTCTTACGAGACATTTGACGCCACCGATCGAGAGTTCTTCGTCGAGGACGGAACCACCGGAAGTGTCGAATATCGAAAATATTCAGACGTTGGTCAATACTCAAGACAAGTACGTTCTTAGGCTGTTGAACGTTGCGCAAGAAATTTCGCCTAAATTGTTGGGCACAGATGCTCTGAAGACTACCAATGGTACGCAGTAAATCAAAGTAAATCTTAACCTTAACTGTATTTCTAATCTGACGCGATTGAAACGTAATGAAATGAAATATTCAAATATTCATCATATCATCGTGAAAGGTGAAACGAGGCTGAGACGTAGCGCGTTAAAGAAGGTGAAGAATTATTACCAAGAAGTCGCATGGGGCGCTTTGTCGAGCATTCTGGATCACGTGGTCCTCTGGTGGTCTCCCGAGGCTCTCGCGACTCGTCACAGTCACGGGGCACAGCAATTGAAGGACTGGCTCAGTCAATTCATCCAAAAAAATCACGGTGTAGAAACGAACATATAACAAAGTCAAATCAGAATTTGATCAATTATGTTAAATTAAATTGTAATATTTCTATGAGCAGTGCCACAAACGGTGAGGCCAGCATTGCAAAATCTCTGCGATGCTCTTCGTTGTCATGCCACAATCACCGAATGGGATCAATTATTTAGACTGGCCTACACCTCGGCTTTCAAGTGCCAGTCGAAAGCTTCCTCCACGGACGTGAGTTTTCTTTTCTCGTTCTAATTAATTTCAATTCAATTTCGACTCGATTTTTTGTTTCATATTTCTGAATAGGGGTCTGACACGGGCCAAATGTTCGGGGAATTGTTCCAATTGCTCGTCAGATTGAGCAACGAGTGCGAGGCAGGCGGTGAATGGGTGATAGGTGCCCCGTTGATGGAGTTGCCACTGTCGGAACAGATCGTTGTTCTTCATCGGTTGGATCATTCGGTGCACACAGCGAGGCTTTGGATAGTGCAGGAGGCGAAAATCATAGCGCATACGTGGGAACTGGATGTGTTCTTCCTTTTGGTAAAAGGTGACATAGTTAATTGTCTCGAGGAGCTTTCTTACTTAAAGGTGAATGTTGCGAGTTATACTCTTTTCTTCTTGATACTTGAACGATTTAGAAATTAAAATCCGGTTATTTCAGCTTGCCGATCACATCAATGCATTATCGACAGATTCTGTGAGCGTCCAGGTATACGTTTGCGCAAAAATGAGGGCGAAAATTGTATCCGAGGTGAACGTGAACATAGATCTACTTCAGGTATATACATGTTGTTTAGAAAAAAAAAAAATAAAGTAAAGAGAGGATTCTTCTTTACTATTTCTTTTTTGTTTGCTCTATGTATAACTTTCCATCAAGAAATGTTCCACCAAGTGTACGGATATTCTGGCGAAGATCTGCCGCGTGGTCAGCCTGGCAAATTTGCATATGTGCTTTCCAAGGCCGAGTTATTGGAGGAAAGGTGGCGACGTCGCCCCGGTGGCGGCTAGCCTCTACGTGCAGCCTTACTTCGGTAAGAAAATCCCTTTCACCCTTTCGCTCTTGATTCTCTGAACGCGTCGATTCCGCAGAGAAAGTACTGCTCCCTGTATTGGAAGTTATCGAGGATCCCGACACGTCGAACATGATCCTGAAAATTATGTGCGAAGCGTGGCTGGATTACATATATCTGCATCGAATTAAATTTAGGTAAAAAAAAAAAAAATAAAAAAATAAAAGAACTCTGGCTTGTCTCGATGACGATGAAACAGGATGAAATGGAAATAAAACAGATCAGTGTTCTCTACGATCGAAGGAATATTTTCTAGCGAATATGGCGCGTTGCAATTGCTCACGGACTTCGCTTACGTGTCCAAATGGGTGACCAATTGTCCGATAATTTCTCAGAACGTACGAGATCATCTTTTAAAAAACGAAGTGTTGCGAAGATGCGAGGGGGTTGGACGATTGCTTCTTCGACATCCTGGCGAGGCTATCTCCATGCGGAAACGACTCGGTAAGAGTTGATGCAAAATCGAAATTGAAATTATGATTGGTTTGCGGACGTTTACGTTTGTGCGTGTTTTTAAAATTTTTTTAAACGGTATAAAAATCTGCATATTGCAACGCTTGAAGAAACTGAGAAGAATGAAATCTCTATTCTCTACAAAAATTTGATTCTCCATAAATCTATCCTTAATTTAGACTTTACATTTTTGGATTTGATTTGCTCTTCGATGCACAAGTTATGAATTAAATTATGAATCAAGTTTTGAGAGTTCGTGATGAACAAAAAAAAAAAAAAAGAAAACATTGGACAATTTTAGTGTTAGTATATTGTTTCATTTCGAAAACTAGATTAATGAGAATTCTGTAAATACTTTCTTGTATTTATAAAAAGATGAATCATCGATCATGATCCAAACTGCGAAAGTATATTTTGATTTTTTATTAAAATAAGAATCGATTCATTGAATTATTACGAACACTTTCATCGATACGAATCGTGCAAATGCAAAAATATAGAAAAATAAATTCGCATTTAATTTTTTTCTTCGTTTAATGTTTAATGTTTCAGCTAGAAGAACAAACGAGCGTGGATCGCCAGAATCACCTGGATTGGAACGCATGCCGGCGGAAATGTACGTGCCCAACCAGGAACAATGGTTGGAGCTTCGCGCCTCGAAGAGATACAATTTTTGCTGTACCGAATATTGACCAAATAATATTTCAACGAATTTATTATACTTTCGAATCAATCGTGAGATATTAAAACTTAAATTCATATCGTTTCCTTCTAAAAATGTTTCTATATATTTAAAGATTGTCGATATTTCGATGATCAAGTTTCTAATTATCAAGTTTTGCATCTGTGGTCAAGTGACAAAACTTGATACGTATAATTTTAAACTAGCAATGTTGTTAGGAAATACGAGGTGCTCTCTTAATTCTTTTTAAATTATAAATTATAAATGCATATCTCAATAATCCAAAAAAGTGACTATAAAAAGTATTTTAGCAAACCATTATACTTATACAACAATTTGTATAGCAACTTATATAGCAATATAATTAAACGATAATCATATTGTATTTCATTCTTTCAAATTTTAAAATTGTACTACGCTTTTACAATAATCTGGAGGATGAAAGAATTAAAAAAAAAAATGTAGTTCCATCATCGTCTAACATTTATTTCAAAATTCTATGCTCCTCCATTCCAATTGCTTTTAAATACAGATATATCGTAATATCAATTACAATACATATTATCTAAAATTCGTATAACTCAATCCCATCCCCATTGGTGAAACGGACGATATAATTCGATCATCCGGCAATAGTTTCAAATATTACAAATAAGAATTATGTAATAACACGTATACCTTGGACAAAGCTCGGGGTTCTCTCACGAATTCTCTCCGCGAAGCCCAACCAGCACGAAAGAAACCTTTCTCGCGTATTACGTTACGCATAGATTATATAGAGGTTAAAAAAAAGGAGGGGGGCGTTATACACGTAATAGGAAAGCTAAGCCGTCGACCTCTGGCTGATTCCTCGTTGTGCGATGAAACGATCCGGATTATCGTCGCTCGGTTAATTTTCGCATTCGATCGAGTTAATTACACGCGTTTACGACGCGTCGAAGATTGTAATTAGCGGTGGATGCGCGACGATCGATGCACCGGTTCACCAGGCTTTCATAATTACTACCTACCTAGCCACACGTGGAAAGGAGAGAGGAAGGGAGAGAAAGAGAGAGAGAGAGAGGAGGAGTGGATAATCAACAGGGAGCTCGTTGATCGCCGATTCGACGACAGAGGGTGGTCATCGGGGCTTCCACCGATTATCCAATCGATTTTTGCCGTTCAACTGTGCAAGTGTTGCGTTCGAACCGGTGATTCGTCGATGATTGTTGACTGTTGTGTAGAAAGAATTACGAGCGTGAGTGCGAAAATGTGAGTAGTTTTTACTAAAAGTGATATTTGTTATATAGCAGTGAATAGTAGTTTTTTTTAAAAAATATTGATGGAAAATTGAGAGAGTTAGACAGAGTTGCTTTTTAATTCTCTTTGTGCGAGCTTTTAATTTCTGTTTCTTTTTTTTTTTTTTTTCATATAACTTGTTGTAGGTTGATGATTTTTCCTCGAGAAATCCTCTTAGAATCCTTTCACGTGAAAGAGAATTTGAAATTTTGTTATTTCGAATGCGTTCAAGAGGAAAGTTTTCAAAGCTTCTAATTTATTTTTCCAAAAGTATCCATGAAGTATCATAAGTGTGTGCATCACACCTTATCTGTACCATATATCTGATTTATCAATTTATTTTAAAATACAAAAGTACTCGATCATCGCTCATAAACCGATCTCTTTTGTTTCTCGGCCTCGATCCACTCTCATAAAAACACGATGAGGCGACTCGTGTTTCATTCCCGGCCATCGATCCTCGATTCTTCTTATATAACGCGAACCAGTCGACTTGTGGATCGAGCATATAGTCGTACGTTGGAGGTTATATTTATTGGATACCTCGATAATAGCGGGACTCGTCAAAGTATTCAAATTTGCCTCACTCACCAGCGAGGACGATTTAAGAGTGATTAAGAGGATTAATTGCCTCTCCCTTCGATCGTTGCACTTGTTGTTGTTACTTTAATAAATCCGTTCAGAAACTTTTCCCGCACTCAGTCATTTGTGTACTTTATGCGTACGATTTTATTTCGTGGAAATTTTTAGATATTTTTTTTTTTTTAAATTAATCTCTCGTCGATTTTTTTAAATTTTCGGGTATATTCGAATTTACACAGATACACTAAACACTGTACGCTTAGAATTTTATTATATTATACATATTTGAAAAAATTTTAATCGTGGTTAATTTTGAGACTTTCAGATGTTTGAAAATTTATACGATATTTCAACACGTGCCGGGATTAATTTCGCTCGTATCGTGTTTCGCCTGTTTACCGATATTTCATTTTTTTTCACACGTCGTTAATTTTTCCTTGGGTAAGAATCGATCGTATCTTAACAATCTTAGATACGAAAATCTTGATTCACATTTATTGTTACCGTTCTAATAATAATTAATAAAAAAATCACAATCCTCAATTTTAAATTGCCCGATTCTAAAATATACCAACAAAGTTCAGGAAATAAAGTTCAGAACTAGAAATATCATTGAATTTTATATAAAAATAAATCGATCTAAAAAAAAAATCAAACATCAAAAATCTGAATCTATTCAGAATTCAATCTACGCGATTGAACCTTCTTTCTTAAATACACTTTCACACCAAGGAAGGAAAACATAATAATTTTTTAATTTTCAATAAGAGCAAACTAACGTCAATTTTCTCACGAATGGATGCAGGGTGGAAAGCGAGAAGCGGTGCCTCGCGACGCACTGACAGGAACGGGAGGGCGGGCGTCCACCGGTACCACCGGAACTTCCGCCAGTTCCTCCGCGGTAAACCGAGTCGACTCGAGCGGAGTCGAGCCGCGAAACTCGGCTCTGACCACGGCGATATCCTCAACCGTTGTCCAGTTAGCTTTTGTTCGCCGCCGTGATCGTCGACGAATCACGTTTTCCACGTATCGCTTGCTCGCGATATGTACACGAACAGGTGCGTGAACGAGAGGACCTCCCTCACCAGACCTTTGGATTCACCGGATTACGTGGAATTCGCGAGTTTGCTGAGAAGCAGGAAGACCCGTATCAGACAGTTCCAATGCTGCATCTGCGCTACTTTGATGTGAGTTCAACTTGCTTTTTTTTTTTATATTATTATTTCATTTTGTCGGGTTGTTAAAGCGACGGGAAAAAGTTTTGGAAAGTTCGTCAAAATTGTGGAAAATTTTTATCAGGGGGTTGACTCTGTTTTGTTTGCAGAGGCAATTTTGAAAGATTCTTTTTTCGATTGTTTTTTTAATTGTTTTGGAAAGGGGATATGGAGAGAGATTGGTTCTTTTTGTACTTGTTTATTTAAGAAGAAAATTTGTCGAGAAGATTGAAATGCTGTAAAACGAGTATAAATTGTTCTTAATTCTTTTTTTTTTTTTTTTAATTTTTATTTATATTCCAAAGAGAATCTCTTTTTACTTTAAATATGTTTCAGTAAATTTTTTCTAACCTTTCATTTTTTTCTCTTTAAGAGAAATAATATCCGTATAATTTTATTGCAATTTTAATTACCAATAATATTAATTACCAATAATAAAATATTATTTTCTATCGATGAATGTTCGACGCATTACGCGTTGAAATACAACTTGCATCTGGACAAACATCAATCCTATATTTGACCGCATTAAGAATTTGCGTCTTTAATTAAGCGTGTTTATATAATTACCAGAGAGGACGAGATATGCACGTGATGTAACGTGGATACTCGCACGTATAATTAATCACAATCAAATAAACAGGTCAAAGAACCAAAGAATCCAACCAATTAATTTAATTATTTTTTTTCACTGAAACGGATTTTCAAATCTTAACAAAATAAACTATACCTCCTTTAAAAAAAAAAACAAACACCCATCCCAAAAAGATACAAGCTTCTTCAATCAACGATCATCTCTCAAAAACTTTTTGCCATGGAAGAAGAAAAGAATTTTAAAAGAGTTATTAAATTACGAAAAAAGAATTTTTTCCCATTTTAACGTTTGATATCGTGATAATGCTAATAATCCAATTTTTCCATTTTACTTTTCCACCCCGCGACGAAGTTCCTTTCGATTTCGTGTCTCTCGATAGAAAGAAAAATAAATAAAGAAGGAAGGAAAAAATGATCGTGTCCCCACCGTAAGCGGATACTTATGTAAAATCATCGCTCACCTCGAACCACCGGCCGCCATCGTTTCAGTGTGGTCGTGGTCTCGACGACGAGTGCGCGTGCAACCAGAGAGACATGCCTTCCTCGGAGAAGACTTCGTTGACCGGTGATAATCCGACCAGGGTTTACTACGGTCAAGACGCGTTGCCATTTTATTCTCATACGAGGAGACAACTGTTGCGGATTCGATGTATCGCGTACACGATCGCGGTGTGAGTCGTATTTTATTGTCGTTTTTAAAATAGTCGTAGATTTATCTATGGTTCTTTTTTCTTTTTTTTGACTAATAATATTTATTTGAGTCCTAAATCGGGTGAATAATCAAAAATAACGCGAGAGGAAATAAGCGTGCATTGAAAAGATTTAATGATAAATTAATAATAATATTTATTATTATTGATTTAGAAAAGAAAAATCGAAGGAAAAATTAAAAGTACGAATCAAGTGATCGATAAGGATGGAAAAAAAATATGGAATTTTTCAAATAAAAATTTTCATCACTGTTTCAAGATCGCGTGTCAAGCATATCAAGTAAACTGCCGTAATAATGTACTTCTATTCGAGAAGTATTAGATCGTTTTAAAAAATGGAATTATATATCGTCTCATGATTTTATTTGACAACAACGGATTGCAATTTAATGTTTAGTTATTCAATGTTAAATTTAGAATAGCATAATTGAGAAGAGATCAATTGGTCAGCAATATCATTTACAAAAACTACAAATTAAGATTCTATATCAATATTATATCACGGAATATCACATGTTACTTTTAAAAATACATATGTTTTAACAAACAGAGACAAAGATTCTAATTTTCAATTCTAATTGAAAATTCAATCATGTATACTTGAACTCCACGTTTAGAAATCACATTTTTCATAGGATTGGAAAAGTTTAACGTGTAAAGGGGATATCGTGCAACAACGAAACCTCTCGTGGTTTCTCTGTTGCGGTTTCTGCGCGAACAATATGAATACACACGACAGATCTATCAAACGAGAATAATATCCTCCCAGATCGCCAAGAATACCGATTCGATTTTGCAAGCAAATGTCAATATGCTTTTTTTTTTCCCGAGAATGATCTCGGATAAAATGGCGTCGACACACACAATATGGCGGATATTAAGAACAACACAGGCCCTTTATCAAATTTACGGGATGAAATGGCGTGTAATGCGTTTACGACGAGCAAACAATAGTCTTAGATAAAGTATTTTGCGCGTAGGATTAGAGTTACGTGACGTTGGCCTTGATTACATGCATAATTGTACGATGACAGTGTGGTTGTCTAACGTTACAACTGCCCGAGCAGCTTCTTCCATGATGAATTATCACGATACGTCGATTAATGCTTCTCCGATTAATCCTTTGGAAATTTCAGAAATTCGTTCCTATTGTTAAAAGAAAATTTTATTTTCACAAGTAAAGCCCAGTGAAAATTATTCTCTCCAATCATTTCCAATGTTATATATATATATATATATAATAATTAATAAATTTCAGAGATTGTTCATTCATAAATGGATTCTTCTAATGCATTTGAATTTTCTTAAATTTTACGTACCACAAAACGAATACTTTTTTTTGTTTCAGAGCAATCTTCACTATGGCTCTCGTAGTGACAGTGAGCTACTCCGTGAGCCACGACATGATGGACGCAGGGCCGAATCTAACGGCCCCTTCATTCGATTACAACGCGAATCTTACCAGGTCTTTGAAAAAACTGAAGCTAGGCTTCGCCCCTGGATCTGGCTCTTACACGTTGTTCAGCAACCTTCCATCACCCCTTCCAATTCCATCTTCGTGCCTGATCAAACGGCGAAAGAAACACGGAGATTGACCAAGGAGGAGGTGAAGGAAGGATTGAAAGCTGGCCGCCAGGCGGTCAGCGAGCGACTTTTCACGGACGCTTTAACGTCGCCGTTGCCCTCGCCGTCGCCCGAAGTCAGGCATCGCCACGCGGTCAGCACCTGCATCGACGCCGGCACGTTGGCTCTGGCCGCTGTTGCCGAGCTTGCAGCCACCAGAAAGATCGAAAACTTGAGGGCCGTCCAGGGAGAGCCGTCCGCCATTGGAAGCTTCTTCGATGCAGGATGGAAAATTTTTGGTATTCTTTCAATTTAAATTACAAATGACACGATATTCCCATAAATCCATTGGTTACCTTATTTTTACAGGCGCGTGCAAGCAACTCACCACACCTGACTGTCCGCCCACCAAATACAGGACCTTCGACGGAAGTTGCAACAGGCCCATGCAGATGGGAGCCGCCATGACACCTTTCATACGACATCTGCCCCCCGACTACGGGGATGGCATCAACGCGCCACGCAAAGCTGTTTCAGGCGCCGATTTACCATCTGCGAGGGAGGTCAGCCTGATAGTTCACAAGCCTTCGCCAAGCAGCAATCCGAGCTTCACAGTGATGCTGGCCGTTTACGGCCAGTTTTTGGACCACGATATCACGGCCACTGCGCTCAGCCAAGGTCTGAACGGCACTTCCATTCCGTGTTGTCCACCGTCCGACGGCCATCCCGAGTGCTTCCCCGTCCCCGTCTCGTCCGGTGATCCCGTCTTCGATGTCGCTGGAAGAACCTGCATGGACTTTGTCAGATCAGCCCCCGCGCCCCAGTGCAAACTCGGCCCCAGGCAACAGTTGAACCAGGTATCCCGAAACAATAATTCGAATAATTTCCTAATCAATTCAATTCATCGATTCGAATTCTTGAGGGAGATGATAAGGGCTTGCGCCGTTAACAACGCTGCTAATTAACTTCATTGTATCGTTTCGATCGTGATCACTCGATGGAAACGAGATTTTTTTTCTCTTCGACACTTTCATTTCGCAGGTATCGGCGTTCATAGACGGGTCGACGATTTACGGGGCGGACAAGAGCGCGGCCGAGAGTCTGCGAGAGTTCACGGGAGGCCGTTTGAGGATGCAGCTGACCCCCGACAATAGGACCCTGTTGCCTGCCAGCACGGATCCCAACGACGGCTGCAACCGCGAGGCCGAGAGGCGAAGGGGAAGATACTGTTTCGCGGCTGGCGACGCGAGGGCCAACGAGAATCTGCACTTGACCACGATGCACCTGCTGTGGGCGCGGCAGCACAACAGGGTGGCCGACCGATTGGCCAGGATCAACCCCTCGTGGGACGACGAGACCCTGTACGAGGAGTCTCGACGCGTGGTCGGCGCCCAACTGCAACACATCACGTATCGGGAGTTCGTGCCGATTATTCTGGGCGATCGAGAGACGGACAAGAGGGAATTGAGACCTGTGGAGTCCGGTTACAGGAAGTGGAAGTTGGAGAGGAACGACACGAGCTTCGATCCGAGCGTGGCCAACAGTTTTGCCGCGGCCGCGTTCAGATTCGCCCACACCTTGCTGCCCGGATTGATGAGGATGACTGACGAGAGGGCGGGGACTTCGTCCTACGTGGAGCTGCACCGGATGCTGTTCAATCCTTACAGCCTGTACGCGGAGGGAGGGCTGAGGAGTTCAATCAACTCAGCGACAAGAAACGTGATCCAGATGACATCGGCCCACGTCACCTCTCAGCTGACCAATCACCTGTTCGAGGACCCTGTCGCGAATGTTACCGTCCCGTGCGGCCTGGATCTGGTCTCGTTGAACATACAGCGTGGAAGGGATCACGGGATTCCCGGTTACACGGCGTGGAGGGAATATTGCGGATTGGGAAAGGTGGAAAGTTTCTCCGACTTGGAAGGCCACCTGGATCCGCAAAGTCTCGAGGATATTGCCTCGTTGTACGAGTCCGTACACGATATAGATCTGTACACGGGGGCTTTGGCCGAGTTGCCCAACTCTGGTAGCATCGTTGGGTCTACTTTCATGTGCCTGATCGCCGATCAGTTCGTCAGGTTGCAGAGGGGAGACAGATTTTGGTACGAGCTGGCCGGGCAGCCTCATTCGTTCACCGAAGGTGAGATTCTTAAAAATTTGGATCTTCAAATTCGACTTTAAGTTGTATTTTTTAACATTATGATACGTGGAATATGAAACAACAGGGAGGAATAATTTGTCGCAACAAGTCTCGTCTCGTTTCTTCTTCTTCTTTTTTCTTTTTTCCTTAGATCAACTTACCGAGTTGCGCAAGATGTCGTTGGCGAGGTTGATTTGCGACTGTTCGGACGAGATAGGACAGATCCAGGCGGAAGTGATGCGAGCAGTCGGCCCAGAGAATCCCATGATCTCTTGCGAGGATATACCAGCACCTTCTTACGAGCCGTGGAGGGAACAATTGAGCGAGTAACATCGTTCAATTGGACAGGTTTGAGGGACGACATCAACAACACGATCGAAGAAATCGTGGCTTACATCAACAACTCCAGGACCGGTTTGGACACCGATTGGCAAGCGTTTAAAAATTACATAAGCGATACATTTTCTGATCTTAGAAATCAATTGTCCGAATTGCGTCCATCCAACGATAGCCAAGCAGCCAAGGAAAGATCGGATTCGATATCAGATTCCGAACCGTATCGATATTGGATCGGGTTAAAAAGTAACGTGACGAGATCGTTGAATCGCTCTATGCAAACGATGACTGGCGGGCCAGCCGCTGTGACGAAGTGGATGGCGTTTAAACGAAGTATCGTCGATCAGTTTGCCAGTTTGAAGGATCAGATCGCAGCTATGAGAGCAGATGTTGCGCCCAAATTGGAGATGAGGAAGAAGAAGTCCGAGCAGGAACAGATTTCGAACGTGAACAGTTCGAGGATGAACGACACGATTCCAGCGATCTTCGATTGGAAGAACTTCAAGAGCAACGTAATATCTTCCTTGAACAACACTATAGCGAATATAAAAGGCGACAAAATGCCTCCTCCTGGTGATCCAGCTTGGGCCACGTACAAGGACCAATTTTCCGCCTTTAGGAACGAAATCGATAGCCAGAGATCCGCTGCACTGGCAACGGAGAAATCAAACGCGTCCTCCGATTGGTCAACGTACAAAGATCGGATCGTCGAAACCGTGAACGAGATCGTGGATAAGATCAAGAATGGAATGCCTCCTCCTGGTGATCCAGCTTGGGCCACGTACAGGAACGAGATTACGAAAAGTTTCTCCAACTTCATTCCATCGTCTTTGGAACACGCCAACACGAGCGAAAACGTTCCTTTTCGTTCAACTGCCTCTGCACCAGTCACGAGCAACAACACGTCCAATCTGACTCTCGATTGGTCAGAGTTCAGAGCACGAATCAACGATTCTGTGATCAGGATGATCGAGGGTATTCTGAGCAAGAGACCAACGGAGATCGATCCGATCGCTTGGGCAGTGTTTCGAGCCACAGCTGAAGACGAATTCGCGAAGCTGAGAAGCGAAATTGGGAGCATTAGAGACGAGTGGCTGGGAACAGAAATAGGCAAAAAAGGAAAAGATTCGTCGAATCTTGGGGCAAACTGGTCCAAATATAATTATTCTGAGTTTGATTCGCTCGTCGTTCCCTCGAAAGAGGAATGGGACGATTTTAAGAAAGAGATCAACGATACCGTGATGAATATCCTGAGCGTTGCCAACTCGTCCAACGAGTTCGGTTTCGACGAGCTTCACACGATGTTCAATCGATCCTTCACCGATCTTAGGAATCAGATCTCGTCTTTGAGAACGTTGATCGAGGAGACTTACGATAATAAGACAGCCGCCGATTGGCTCAGCTTCCAAGCACAAATGAATTCCACGGTGAAGGGTCTGGTCGATGGTTCGAGGAAAGGCGACGAGTTGTCCACGGAAGATGCGATCGGTGTCTTGTTCAAAGCTAAAGAAGAGTTGTCGAATGTTCAATTGCCGGCGAATTCGGCCGCGATTCCGCCCGCGGAGTGGATTCAATACGCGTCGCACGTGAACAAAACGATCTCGGACGCTCTGAGAAACATCAACGACTCTAGGAATCATTATGGAACGATGATGCTCAGAGCAGAAGAGACGATAACGTCATCCTCGTCGTCCAACGATCCTAAGAAATTCGAAACGAATTGGTTAATCGTTTCTTGCCTTCTTGGCTCGTTCCATGTGTTCACGATGATATCAAAGTTCCAAATTCGCGTGTAAATTTTTCTTTATTTCAATTATTGTGTGTATATATATATATTCTATTGTTTATAGAAACAGACTTTTATTATACTATATACTAACCAAGATAAGAAATGAGAATATATAGGAAGAATGGAAGGGAAGTGATAGTGTCGATTCAAAAAACGTCGTTCCTTTTGTAAAATTCTACTTGAAAGAAAAAAAAATGGCGAACGTACGACACTCTAATGGATTTTGATATTTCGATATTCTCTACAATATTTCAAAATCCATAAGGAGATCGCACGTCGATTCGCCGAAAAAAAGTTCTAACTTAATTCTAATCAATTGATTAACCGATTGATTGGTAATAAAAATAAAAAGAAAAACTACAAACAATTAATCTACGTGGCAAGACTCAACAATAACGCAGTGCCTCTTTTTATCCAGAAATCCGATCCTTCGGGACCCGCATTCAAATCGACCGCCACAACGAATGCAGGTCGTCCCTCATCCCCGCTTCTCTGAGGATAATAATAACAGGGGCAAGAGTAGAGTCCTGCGAAAGAAGAAAAAAAAAAAAAAAGAAAATTGCATTATCTTTATTCCTTCCCCAATATTTTATCGTTGTTTACCTCTGGTTCTCTTTCTAAGGAGTTCCGCGGGCCGGAAGTGTATCACCGGCATGTTGCAAATAAGTTGCATAGGAGCCGGCTCGATGAGAACGCTACCCCTCTTGTCCCAGCCTGCGCCTTCCAGATATATGGAGCGTACGTACACGCCGTCCTGTAATGGAATGTACACACAGTTAGACGCATTGCACACACATATACACCCGTTTCCTAGACGAGATCCCTCCTATCTTTCCAAGCCTCGTTTCCGATGTTATCGAAGAGAGGCAAGCAGGAAATAATTGGATCGATTTCCAGGGTAAAAATCATTTTGATTCAATAACTTCGAACTTTTATCCTAATTTTCGTTCCACAACGAGGAGGCGAATAAACAATTAAAGCTTGACACCTTAGACGAGGGTTGAAACAGTTTGAAAATTACCACAGGTGGTTCGACAATGGCCGTCTCGTCGATCGTAAAAACGGTGAACTCCCAGGACAGGGTATCTATGGACACGTTCCACATCCTGGCGGACGTCTGCAATACGGCTGTAAGGAAACCGGTTGGGAAAGTGTACGCGGCGAGCCAGAACAGAACAGGTGCATGAGTAGTTGAGGCCCATTCCCTGAAGTGTTCCACCCTATTGACCAAATCCCTCGTCCAAGCGCCCAACAGCTTCAACGAGGGATACGCCATGAGCCAGATCGAGGGTACACGGCCCTCGAACACGCAGATGAATATGTCCTCGAGTTCAGGGGACATCAGTATCAAACCCTTGATGGCCAATTGGAGATCCGTCAGGCTGCTTCGAGTCTTTCGTAGCAGCGCGTTGTATCGTTGTATCTCTTGGAGCAGTACCACGTCCAACGGTTGTCTCTTTGGACCTATCAACTTCACGGTTGCCTCGTAATCGATGTCGTCTGGTATTCTTGATAATATGTCCGTGGTTAATTGATTCACCTTGAGAATTAACCGATTGGTTGGAACGGAAAAATTGTTATTGATCACGTTCAAGAATGTAAAATAATAAAAAAAAATTCATCGTGTTATATGAGAAAAATCTGTGTGTATACATATATAAATATAAAATTTTATAAATCGTAAAACTATTCTGGAAAAATGAAGATTCCACGAAGTTTGACGAGCATACTTTTTCCTCTTTGCTAACTTCTTCTTTCGTAACAGTTTGAACCTGGAGTTCCATCAAAGTTTCGAACATATTTCTAGTTTCCATGATTAAGCAGGTGATGTCCGCGTTCGGGTGTTGACCGAATGCTTCCGGTTTATCGACGGCAGGTAAGACAGCTATGAAATCTAGGTAGGATCCCAACGAACCATCCTTCGGTATGTAATAGGTTGGCAGCGATGACAAACGATAATTAGGGACAGTCAGAGCCTCATCCGTGAAATATTGTTGAACGTATGTCATTAACAATCGGCGGTCCCAATCGTCGGTCACGTGGCCGCCGTAACAAACACCCGCTATGAGATATTTCAACGAATCCCACGGAGTTTCTGGATACTCGTCCAGATATACCTGTAGAAGATTCTCCGACACCTGTTTTCGGACAAAAGAATCGATCCATTTTTTCATTTTCAAGATAATATCAAAAGTCAAAAATCGATCTCCATTTCGAATTGAACGAAGGGACCAAACTTTTCGCTCGGATATTTCCAAATATTTGGCCAATCGCTTGGCAAATCGAAATTACCACAAAATCGGAGTCGTTGAAACTGTAGATGACGTTCCAGCCCAATTGCTGAAACTTTTTACGCTCGAGGAGAATCGCGTGGAAGAATACAAGGGCGAACAGAAGCTTCTTGTACTTGGACTTTGCCTGGCAGAGCTCGAACTGATACTCGGTCATCAAGCTGTAAAGTCGTTTCATGTTTGCCTTCAAACCTTTCGGCGGTTCCGTGGTCATCTTTATACCAGCTTGGAGGATCGATATGGGGAATTGGGGAGTCGGGCTCGAGCTAAGCCACAACCTGCAATCGGTCGAAAACCCCTTTCATTATCGACTCGCGCGACGACGACGACGACAACGACGCTCGCTGACCTGAATTGCGGGTGTAGGGTTTTACTGGCCCCCAACATTTCCACGATTTTGTCCAATTTCGGCATCCAGCTGAGCGACAAGTGGCAGTTCGCCAGGAACACCCAGGCACCTTCTTTTGCCCCCACCTCTATCATCCTAAAGTAAAGTAAATTTTATCTCACGGAGGGATAATCGTATCAATAGTTCTCTAACATAATCTCTCTTTGTCGATCTATGAGATACACAAAGCGACATCAATCCTTAAAATTTGAAATTTGGAATTGTTTCTTTTGTTTAAAGAAGTGCGATCTACGCGAGAATTTCAGTTTACGTCAATGAGACATCAACCTGGTGGCGATAGGCGCCTGTCCCTGGCCAAGGGACAGAGTCATAAAGTGTTTGGTCATTTCCTGGCTGTCGACCAACTGCATCAGGCTGCTTGTAGGATCCACGCCGGGGGAGAGGACGAATATTAGGGGAGTTTGCGCAACGGAATCGTCGAGTACCGACTTCAGATCAAGGACGGGCGGCTCGACGAATCTTTGGCCGAGATTCAGCACTATAAAGTTCGCTATGCAAAAGGAGATTCTGTCCGGGCGGCAGCTACGTATTATCAGCATCTTTTGGAACACGTTGCTATTCATTTCCCATTCGGACACCAATGGTGTGTTCTCCGGCTCCGTGGCGATATACCTGAAATTTTGATTGCTCGAACGAAACTTACGAGGGGAATTTTAATCGAACGGCTCACCAGAGGTTCCAATCCCGCGGGAATTGCTCGAACGATGAAACGAGACCGTGAAACCCGGGCAATTTATCCAGCTCCGTGATATTATCCCAAGTTTCATCGGGCAGCCAAGGCACCGGTTTATCGGGCTGGGCTTCCCTATCGAGAACGATCCCACCTCGAAGCAGGAACGCGTATTCACGAGGGATGATCTTGCCCTGGGCGTCCAGGATTTTCATGCACATGTTGAACGAGAACAACAACTTGTGATGCTCGAACAGACCCCGACAAGTATTCCTTGAAACATGTTTCTCTGATTATTACGAGAATCGAATCATCATCGCCGATACTAGCGCCACGTTGCCATTAACTACCAGTAACTATTAAGTAACTATGTACGAATCTAGAAGTTAAAACTCGATGAATTAAAAATTCATCTCAATCTTAAAGTTAAATTGCTTGCAACTGATATAATTGAGCTTCAATCAAGACATTTTTGTCTTGTTTCTTTTCCTTTCCTAGAATCAATTCTTCGCGATCGCAACGCATTATTCTCTTACTTGTACAAGGCGTAAGTGTGATACTCGTTCAAACTCTCTATCCTCTCTTCCATCTTAATACTTTTCGTGCTTTTGTCGATGGACAGCTTGAACAGGGTAATGTATGCGTCCAATGAGAACTCGTACATCGGATCGATAAGGCTCATGTCGTTGAGAACGAAGAAGAGGATCGAGGCACGATGGGCGCACGGCCTATACTCCTCTCTCGCAAGATCTATCTGCTTCTCGGTCTCCTCGGAGACGACCAACGACTCCTCGATCGAGATTGAGGTCGCCTTGGACGACTGGAGGGCGCTCAGCAAATCCAGATCGTCCAGAAGTGTGTCCCCGGCCACGCTCAGCAAACTGCACGAGATACGGTTTGAGTCTCGCGCATGTCTCCTTGTATTTCGTACTTTTTCCTTCTTGGGTATTATTATCAGACGCATAGACAAAGAGAGAGAGAGAGAGAGAGAGAGGATGGATGGAAAGAGTATCATATCTTACTAGAGTATTCTGTCCTCGAGCTCTTTGAGAGTTCGTTTATTGGACGCGATCGTGTACACCAGACTGTCCTTCTGTTCTTCGAGTTGAGGCTTCTCTTTCCTGACCACGATCCCCAAAAGCTGGGCTTCAAGTCCTGCGCACAGGATAATAAGGTTCCACAAAGTTCCTCTCCATCTCCCTTCCACGCGCATCCCAACCCATCCGTCCTCGTCCCTCTTTTCATTTCATCTCTACCGTTCGTTCTATCTTCACGCTTTTCTTACGTGACTCACGGTAAGACAATTAGTTACCCTCTTCCTTAATAGCGAAGTTGCATAACGTCGTTTTAGTGGATATCTCCGGGGCGTAATGGGGGTTGGCGAGTTTCGTGGTGATGAACAATCGGAACTTGTCGTGGTAAGTGATCATCTTGTCGTTGAACTTGATCATTATCTGATCCTCTGCGTCGAATGATCGAATCAAACGATTGAATTCGATCCTCGTATTTTCGTATATAACGTTATACACTACTCACCTACTTTCACGAATGCTCGATCGAGAATTGGATTCATTATAGGGTCTATCGTCTCACCGATATTCTCGAGAAGAACAGGCATGCCGAATTGGAGCGCGTATTCCAACACCCTGACGAAATCTGGTTGGCCAAAGTCGATCACCTTCAACGTCTGTTAAATTAATAATAAATTCGAATCGATACGAATTTCTTCCTCTTTTTTTTTTTTCGACATCAACATTC